AAGTTACCTCGCAGGTTGTTTCGCAGCATAGAGACGAGCTTCGCATTCGCACGATGGTGCGACTCTAGCATTCTCGAGATCAGACGACGCTCCTCTATTTGACGAGGTTCATCAATTTGACGAGACTTGTTTGGTTGACAAGGTTCGCCCGTTCGACGATGTTCGTCTGATTTGCGAGACTCGTTTGATAGACCCGTTCGACGAGGTTTGCTCGTTCGACGAAGTTCATCTTACTGATGAGGTTCGTCTGATTTGTGAGACTCGTTTGATTGACCCGTCCGACGAGGTTTGCTCATTCGACAAAGTTCGTCTTACTGACGAGGTTCGTCTGATTTGCGAGACTCGTTTGATTGACCCGTCCGATGAGATTCGCTCCTTCGACTTTGACGAGGTTCACCCGATCGACGAGGTTCACCCGATCGACGAGGTTCGTCTGATTTGCTGTAAGGTGCAACACGACCTTCGCGTTCAGGCGTTACTGCATGTTGTAGTTATAACACCATTTAAATCAATTGCTGTTATAATCATAATGATTTGTAACAGTCACATTGATTGTAGGGTGACTCTTGAGCTGGCCTTAGAGGCCTATAAATAGTGACTCTTGGGTCAGCTCTTGGAGAGCTCTTGTATACACACGAAAATACATTGAGCTGTTGTGCTGCTGCTGGTGCAGAGCTTGTGCCCGAAGGAACTGTTGTGATGCTGCTGCTGCAGTGCCTGTGCCCGAATGATTTTTGTCTAAACCGAAAGGTTTAAGAGATCAAGGGGATCTTTGCCTTGATCGAAAGGTCTTATAGATCGAGGAGATCTTGACAATACTTGGTTGGTGCACACCATTATATTGTACTGCTGTTCCTGGAAGCAGATTGGCCTTGGGATCCTTACACTAGAGTATGCCAAATATTGTTTTAAGCACAACGTTTCACAAACACACAACAATTAACTTAAAAAGTTTAAAATTACAGCACATCAACTTTCACTGTTTTATTCCAGATTTAACCACAATCTCCAACATGAAAATCATGAAGTCAAATTTGAGTTGGCATATGTCTTCTATTTATAGACAATTCATATATAAATATTAATAAGGAAAATGATGAGGGGGGTAGAATAACATATCTGCTTATGTTTTGAATATGAAATGTAATAATCAACTACGTTATTTAAAACAAAACCCTAATGACCATGAGTGGCCCAAGTCATTTTCTAACTCATGATGGCCTAAGTCATGGTAACCCTAGATGCCAGATGAGGCGTACGTACCCCTTTGGGCCCTTCCCATACTTCCAAGCTAAGAAAAAAAATCCCTTTTCTCCTCTTTTGGCCTAATGTTAGACTTTCCTTCTCTCTCCCCTTCTTTTGTTTTCTTGCTACTGAACTCCAAACTGATATTTGAACAAATAAAGCAATGTGAAAGGAATCGAAACTCTCCCTCCCATCTTTTTCTCCAAATCATTGTTCTCAATATATTATCTTGCCTTTCGAAATGACAGGTAAAAAAAAAAAAAATTCTAAATCATGTGGATGCATATATCACAAGATGACAAAAGTCTCATAGAATTAACTTGGGGGATAAGGATGGGTCACAAAAATTAGGAACCTCTCAAAGTCTCAAGCTCTCACAATTTTGATGAGACAAATGAAAGCATGATGCATTGGAATTGGAGCTTTACATGGTCCCATCCCATGCAAATAAATAAATATATAAATAGCCCAAACCCTAATTTTATTGAGCCCCACTCTTGGCCTACCCTTTTCTTTCCTCATGTAGTTGGGCACGCTTCCCTTGGCTTCACCTCTCATCTATCAAGTATCAACTTTAACGAAAGAAAACTCTTCAGCATCACAGCGCAGAGAAAGACAAGAGGCAAAGGAAAAGAGAATGATGAAGTCTTAAAAAAAAAAAAAAACTAAGTACTGCAGCTACAAAGGGATCTAGGTTTCTTTTCTCATGCATATAGGCATAGGGTTTGCTCGTATCTTTTTCATGTAACGGCCGCAGGGAAACCTGAGGGCGAAATGACTGTGTTTAGTCAATTAATGGATTGCTTCCATTTTTTTGGGATATGTTTGTTCTTAATTATGCTTGGGGCATTTAGCTACCTATTATATATGTACGCTGTCAATTGTGGTAGTTGGTAAATTGTTCTTTATTTAATTTGTTCAGAGCGAAATGTTATGAAGTTTTATGTAAGAGTGGAGCTCGATCACTTTCAACCGCTGATCAGGATACTTGTTTTCGGCAAGTAAGCATTAAAATTATGAGAGTGACCTTTTGCATCATGTAGGAGAACTGTTGACGCTTATTTTCAACTAATGGCATCCTCTCCAAAGTTTACAAATCATAGATGAAAATATATATAAATGAGGCTATACAATTGTCATGAAACTACCACGAAGTGTAAACAGCTTCACGATGAACTATAACCGACTGTTAAAAGGTTCCATAAACTTTGAAATCGATCGACGGAAAACCCTTATGCACGGCTTCTCAGTTATCAGTATATTACCATAAAATTCTAAAATAAGAGCAGAAGTATGGAACAATATCATCATGTGTTTATCATGTGCTAACCTTTACTAACTGTGGTCAGTCATAGTAATTTAATGAGAAAAAGTTTTTGTTGTGGATTTCTCTATGAAAAATAGTTTAGTTTAGTTTCCTACAAAACCCCCTTTAGGTCACCGTAGGTTTGTGAACTTTATCTGTAAAATGATCGATAGGTGTAAAATATATAATACGTACATAATAAATTAAAGCTGGTGCTATGAATATATCTAGCATTGATTTCATATTTTCTATCTTTCCTTTGACTTCTTCTACTTCATCTTACATGAAACAAACAAATTAATTAGTGTACTCTCCTGCTAACTAGAATAATAGGACTCACATGCAAACAAAAAATAATCCCTACACTTTTATCTCACCCTCATTGCATATGCATGATCACCTAACTTTTATTAAAAGGCAAAAAATGAAATATTTAATTTATAGTTAATCCATAAAAAATGAAGTATTTAATTTATAGTTATTCCATATTTATCTGCTACCAAAACGTGCAATTTATAGTGAATGCATGGAAACGTACACATACTCTCTTTTTAGTTGAATTTGGATCCTCTCCTCTACAAAAAAGTAAGAGAGAGACCACTACTTTTAATCTCAATCGTTGATTACTTATTATGCGGTTATGATACAATCTAAATCTAACACTCACCATACCACCGTGTATTGCACCATTTTCTAATTTGCACTTAAAGAAAAAATCATAACCACCAACTAGATAATCAATGGTTGTGATTATGTAGTGGTCCCTCCAATATTTTTTAGATAGTGGAGAGGATCGGAATCCCTTTTAGTTTGTCTAGATTATAGCAAGCATATAAGTCTATAACTTCATTTATCTTTAAGTTGACCAGTAATTGATATATGATAGATGCACATACAGTGTTTCTATTACTCGTAATCAACGTCACTATGAATTAACTTACTCGATTTCACATTTCATGAAATTAGTAAAAATATAGAAGTTAAGTTTTTACTGACCTTAGACCTACCATTAACTTGGATTAGCTAAAACAAGGGAAGGTTAACGGTCAAAGCATCTGTTCTATTACTTTATTCCCCATTCATACTCCAAATAACACATGTAGATAAATGTTTTGCATTCACTATATAAATACTAGTACATTTGGATATTATTGTATAAAGTATGAATAATTGATGAAGGGCTTTGACTACATGAACGATATTTTACAACGTGTGTTAATCTAAAAACCGACTAAATTAAGAATGATATCTTGATTTGCTTTAAGTTTGTAGATAGGACCATCTATATCCCTGAATATCTCTGCAGGTCTCTGGATGGCCCACTAGCTGTAGATCGAGATTAGATATTTGCTAAAGAGCTAGGCAGGACCATTTGTGAGTGTACTCACACCAAGCAATAAAGAGACCTAAGAGATGAGAGATGTGCAATGCAATGGTCCTCCTCCTCCTCCAAAAATTAAAAGGCAATAGATTACCACATGGACTCGATATGGACATCACAGTAGTCCATATGCCGTCAAAAATATGGTGATATAAAGAGATTATGCCCAACCTATTTAGATCAAGGACCACCCTTGAAAACCAATTTGATCATTTGCCAAAAGACTAGTCTATCTTTTTCTTGCTCCCATGCTCACAGGCACACAAACAAGTAATAAGTAAACACTTGCACGCAAGCTCTTGATCTCCTGTCGATTGCATGCGGATATCATGAGATCGATATGAAAATGAAGAACCAAGATAATATATATATGTCAATTAATTGACACGCCCTGGTGTTTGTATTGTGACTGAGTGGTAAGTTTGCATATATGTCTTATTACTATATATTTGTTTTTATTAGGAATATGAATTGGACTCTGCAGGCAGGCATATGTACAACCTTTAATTAACTCAACATGTGGTCCAAATTAATGGATGGCAGTCCATCCTGATGTTATATAACTGGTCTTTGTTGTCCATCATTACCAACATTATCTCATCTTTCAGACTCATGCTTAATAAGATCAACTATATGAACAAATACTAGGAAGTCATTGGTTATATATGTCATTGCAAATATCTAGTTTATTCAGATTAATTGATGAGATCAGTTTCGGAATTAGTAAATGTATTCTATATTATTTTCACATGTATTACTAAAATAATAACATATGTATATAAACATGAATAAAATTATATTAATTGGTTTGAAAATTATGGTAAAATTCGAGTCTAACCTTTTCCATTTACACCACTCTGCTTACCTATGTTGACTCTTTATAGCCATGGAAAGCTAGCGAAACAGGTTGTACTTTATTATATCTTTTCTCAAATTCCTTGGATACATTAATAGGACCTGAGGGTGGTCCAAACATTGAATTTTTTTTAAAGACTCTAAGGTAAAAAATTGAATAAAACCACAACTGTTTAAAAAATTGGTATGACATTAGTAATCAAACTGATATTGACAAAACTTTTCGTTGGATAAAAAATAATGTAGAAAATTTTAGAAGAGCAAATGTTTTCAAGTTCAAAACAAACTTATGATTAGAGTTTTTGTTATTTAAAATATTGAGAGGAAGTGAAACTCTTGGATATTCTTAGGATATGAACTCTTCCTCCATGGTGTCCTTTTACCTTTCATGTGATACATTCATTTACCAAAGCTATAGTGAAATATCAAGGAAAGTTCTTTTCTATTATCACCGTCGTTTTCAGTTTTTTTGGCTATATATATATTGAAAAATAATGGCTCCATCGCGTTTCTATAAATTGTTAGCATATGAGCACAAGTTTATGAATTAAGCTTGATATCTGATAAATTATTATTATTGAGATGGCTCTGAAATCAGTACAGCGAATATGCTTTGCTCTAATATGACTATCAATTTCTCAGTTAAATGTTTGCAACATTGCATTTCTTAAGTAAGCATCTCTACATATATGTGCTTTGTTTCTGGCTAGAGTTCCTACAGAACTGTAATAATCTTTGACATAATAAAAAATCTTTCTTTTTCTTCTGAGAAATGTAAAAAGTAACCATAACAATTCACGTTTAGAAGGAGAAAGTGATAAGTCTAATTCCGTGATTCAAGTGTTAATTCTCCAATAAATTTTAGGTGACAAGGACACATGGAATTCACGATACCAAGTAGATCCTTGTGGTCCTACATATGGATGATGAACATTCTGATGTGAGCAAAATGACTTCTTCAGATGAATGTGAACAAACAATTGGGATTGTACTTCTTTTTTAAACGTGAAAAGAGTCTAGCACAATTTGGTGCAAAGAGCTTCTTTTCTGTAAGCTACAGATTTAGCTAGGCATATAGCGGCATGATATATGTATTAATGACCGAACAAATGCTGTTCCGTATTAATTTGGAGACTGACCAATTTCAGGGAGGATGTGCAATACTTGAAAATTAGATAGGAACCATTCAGAATATGATATTGTTTGAAGTTACTCCCATTTTGGTTCTGTTTCAATCAAAGGCAATCTTTGAGCACATGAACAACAGACTAATGATTGAGGAAAACGCCACACTTTGGTTAATTCAGACCATGACTTATATATCTGAACTATGAAGAAGATGAAGTTTTTCTCTGTAGCAAACTGAGGATGGTTGGCATATATTATGTATAGTGTTACACTAATACTGTTATTATTATGGAATCTCTAAAAAAGTTTTTTTGGGGGGATGTATATTGCTTGAATACATGCTGGAAGATGTAAAACATAATCTAATACATCAAACAATTAATTTTTATCCCCCCTCCTTGTCCTAAGATCTAGCAACTCGCTGCCCGCCCTGAGATCTAGGTAGGGCAATGGTCCGTCTAGACGGTTCTAGATAAACTTAAATTGCTTGAAAATTGTGCCATTAGTCTGTCTATCATGATTCATGAGCAGATATCTTTGAGTCAAAGGTATGTAGGTCCATAACATATGCAAGAAGATCCTCAGAATATAAGTCTGCAGCATGTTAATTATTCTTTACTGACATATTTTACAGTGACCAATCAGTGATGTGTTAAATTTCTTACATGAGGTTTAAAATGTTCGCTAGAAGTTAGACTTTCAAAGACAGATATTAATTTGCAGTACTAGGAAGTAAAAACTAAGTTCTTTGACTTAAAATAGCTTGGTTCACATTGTTGGTCTATAATCAAAAGTCAACATTTTGAGTAAAGAGGTCACAGCATTTATCTGACTGAGTTTTTGAATCAATAGAGGGCTCTTTGGAAGAAATTAAGCGTTTAAGTTTGAGAGGTTTTGGACTAATTAAGAGGCCTTATGAAAATTAACATTTACATATAACTTGGTCGTGCATATGCTGTCCCTAGTAAAAATATGCATGTTTTTACGCTAGAAATGCTACATCAATAACTCATATTTTTTAAATGAAGTCAACAAAAACAGTTGCTGCTTCAGTATTCTGTTATCTGCTTACTAAAACAATATGCTTTTCTATCACCTTTAATGTTACTAATATTAATTATTGTATGTTAGATAGAAATCTGCATTAGAAGACGAGGAAGAGAAATTGTTCTATCAAAGAATTGATAACCCGGTGATCATCAGGAAGACTATATAGATAAATTTAGATGACTCAAGATGCTTTAGCTTTAGAATTTACTGCATTTAGAACTTGGTCAGTTCTTACAATTCTCTCTCTATGCATCTATATAGTTTCCAAGTAGTTCATATATAGAAACTAACTGTAGTTGGAGTTGGAGTAAAAGCCATTAATTGATTATGAGGTTCATTAATGATGATTGCCGTCCTCCATAAACAGAAACACACGTTAATATGATCCTTGTGGTTGAAATATTTTGAAGCCTCTTAAACGACTCTTTTAGCCTAAGTCTATCACCAGTTTTCACTATCTGGTGATTTATTATAGGCTGAAATTTGAGTGTTCTCCCTTATGAAGTTTTGGTGTCATTTTTCTATCATTTTTCTCATGAATTTTATCATTTAGATTTTCTAGTCACTTGCTAGTTATCATTTACGAGACCACAACTTTATGCTTTTTTTTTTTGGTCAATGAAAGAGAATATATTCATTTACCAAATTTTGAAATGAGAGTACATCAAAACTTTGCCGGAAAATGGTCTAGCAACCAAAACTGAAGAAAACACAAACTGTTTACAGTTTCTCTATTCTATCTCTCAAGTGCTCAGGAACATCTTCATTAAGCACTTTTTGAAGTATTGTTTACAGTTTCTCTATTCTATCTCTCAAGTGCTCAGGAACATCTTCATTAAGCACTTTTTGAAGTATTAAAATTTTTACTTCTCTAACTAGCTGATCAGAACTCCGGCTTCTTTGCTGAAAAATCCTCATATTCCTTTCCTTCCATATCCAGTAAACTGTCGCTGACAAAATCATTCTTTTTAACTTCTTCATGAATCCAAACCCCCTCAAGTTATTAGTATACCGGTCTATCACATGATCCCAGTTGCATGATCTCCATGTATAATCTAACCATACCATCATTTTGTTCCACACATCAGAAGTATAAAGGCACTCAAAGAACAGGTGCCTGCAGGATTCTAATTGACTAGTAGAGCTAGCACACAGGACACACTGATTTGAATTCAGTATTCCCATGCGACACAACCTATCCTTAGTCAGAAGCCTCGAGAGAATTACAAGCCATAATATCACTGAATGTTTGGGATAGTGCAATCCTCCCCATACTGTATTCGACCAAGGTGCATCAGCTGTAGAATGAGAGATGGCATGATAGACAGAGGAAATTTGAATTTTGCCATTGTTGTGACATCCATTGATGACTCTTTGAAGATTATTCACATTCCCAAAATTTCTCATTATCAAATCCCTCACCCTAAGGAGCTGTCTCCACATCCAAGAGTCATTTTTCTTTGGTTGAACTTGCCAGATTCCCAAATGTTGTAGATAATTGCCATGTACCCATTTAATCCACAACAAATCTTTCTTTGTGTGTATCATCCATAGCAGCTTGATAGCTGCAGCATAATGCCACTTCTTAGCAGAAAAGAGACTCAACCCTCCAGATTTTTTATCTTTGCAGACTTCAGACCACGAAACAAGGTGAATTTTGTTTCCCCACAAGAAAGCAGAGCATAACATGTCAATTTTTTCTAATACCTTGATCGGCAAGATGTAGTTACTTGTCCAATAGATTTGAATCCCTAGGATGACAGTTTTGATTAGCTGGATTCTCCCAGCATATGACAAGGTCCTCCTGGATTGCCAATTTTGAAGTTGCTCTGAAACTTTAGAGATCAAAGGAGAACAGTCCAAGTATGAGAGCCTTTTAGAAATCATAGGCATTCCTAGATATCTCATTGGTAAGGAGCCCTCAGAGAAGTTAAGGTATGTTCATATCTGAGCTTTTGCATCATCTTCAATCCCACACAAGAACACTGAGCTTTTACTAGAGTTTGCCTTTAGACCTGAGACTCTACTGAACTCTTGAAGACAGCTATACACTTTAGAAATTGAATCCATATCTGCTCTACAAAATAGTAACAAGTCATCAGCAAATATCAAGTGTGTAATCCCCAATCTAGCACACTTTGGATGGAATCTGAACATTCTGTCAGTGCTAAGTGTCTTTAACTTCCTGGTTAGGTATTCCATACCAAGCACAAACAAGTAAGGAGATAAAGGATCTCCTTGCCTCAATCCTCTAGCTCCTTCAAAATATCCGTGCAATGATCCATTAATTGACAGAGAGAACTTAGGAGTAGAGATGCATTCCATCACCCATGTAATCATGTTACTTGGGAATCCCAAACCTGTCAGCATAGACTTAATAAAACTCCAGCTTATCATGTCAAATGCTTTTCGCAGATCAATGTTTAGAACAGCTCTTGGAGAGACATGCCGTCTACCATAATGCTTGACAAGCTCATGAGCTAGAAGAATGTTGTTAGAAATAAGCCTTCCTTTAACGAACGCACTTTGTGCTTCATCAATCAGAAACCCAATAATACTCTGAATTCTATTTGACATAATTTTTTATATAACTTTATAAATGCAATTGCAACAAGAGATTTGTCTGAAGGAGATTTGGGGTTGAGAATTTTAGGCACTAGTGCCCACAACTTTATGCTGTTAATTCTGCTGATGCATTATTTATTTCTCATCCAACTTCTGCAAAGCCTTGATAATGAGCTACATGATTAGTCGTTTTGCTACTGTTAGCTTTATTTCTTCCAGCAATGAAATATATTCCCCTAAGGTTTAGAGATTCCAGTAACATGGTTATAGTTTGTTTCCCTGAAGAAGGTTCTGTTATCCTGATAATGAGCCAGACGATAAGTAGTCTTATATAAACTACTTATACATCAGAAAATACATTTGAGAAGAAAAATATAAACTATGTTCTAGGCTCCTTTACGTTTAATTGCATCTCAAGAATTGGCATGCAATCCCCATTCATGACATATAATCCATTCATGACATATAATCCATATCCTTTTTATTTTTTTCTGTTAATTAAATAATATAAGATCTTACATAACGCTTTTATGTCTTCAAGAAATAGCTAAGGCTGTAGAAAGATAGTTCTCAAGACCACTACGAAAATAAACTAAAATTTCTTCTATATACGTAGTATCAGTTATCTCTATAATAATTAATGCAGATGAAACTTAGTTGCCTATGGAAAACCCTGGATTTCCCAATATATATTATTTGGGTTTATGTTAATTCTGATTGTGGCCGGGAGTATTTGGATAAATTTATCCATAGGGTAACTCGTGCATTATTGAATTATTTATGAATTGAGATTGCATTTCAGTTGATAATTTAGTACAAGTTTTATGGTATATATAGCACTCGGCAATATGTAGTAGGGTGGAGTTGAGATTTAACACTGATGATAATAGTCAATGAAACAAGATAGGGTGAACTTAATTTAGTTCAAGAACACATTTCTACCTCAAAAGAGACACATATATATATATATATATATACACACACATACATACTTGAGATGTATGCAGAATGATCACTGGTGATGAAAAGAAAGTTAAAATGTACAGGATTTCGAACCCACTCTATTAACATCAAGAAATGCAAAATTAAGGAGAAACCATGGAAAACTAGTTAGTTTTGTTATATGTTTTTTTTGCAAATGCGAATTCAGAAACAGGAGAGGAAGAGGCTCAAGCAAATACCTAGCTACTCAATTTAGCAAATACCTAGCTACTCTGAGTAGTGAATATATAGCAAATTACTCAAATATGAACGTTTTATGTTTACCTTACGGAAGGAAATATATATGTCTACTGCTAATATTAGTGCTCTCATCTCTCTGAGTTTGCTTGTTTTGAACAAGTATCATGGGTATCTATCTACCCTTCATTTGTTTGACCTTAATTATTACTTGATCATATTAATTGTATAACCAGCATTGTAGAATACTTTGTATACTTAATTATCTCCCATTTACTTGGTTACATCCTAATAAAAGTAAAAGTAC